CATGTATACTTGGTGGCACCCTTTAACAGAAAGGGAAAAACTCAACTGCATGACAACAAAAAGTTTTAACTCATGATGATATCAACCTTGATCTTAAATATTAGCAACGCACACTTCCTTATACTTTTCTCCATGCTGTAGAGTCTTCACACGCTTATCTTCATGTGAAATGTATAATATACATCCAGCAAATCAGATAATGTACAGATGGCTAGCTTACATGTTCACAGGCTCACATAAACAGATGAAAACTAGTTGGATTGCTAATTATGTGTTCTGGTAGATGAATTGGAGGCAATATGATTTAGCGTTCACTTTTCAACTAAACTATGCTCCTTTAGTTTATTGAAGAAGAATCGTTCCAGCGTGTTTGCACACCTAACATACTCTGTATCCACTGCGTTATAAGCCCGGCAGTTGCTGAAGATGCGTTGCATGTCCGCAATGAAAAGTTTTGGTGAGGAATAATATCTGTCTCTTATACACATCTAGATGTGTATAAGAGACAGTAGGAATTCTTTTCGCCAATAAGCTTTTATAATAAAATAATTTTATTTATTATTAATTCCAGATAATCATGAACCCATTCGACACATGCGTTATCGACTTCGAACGCTTGGGAGAACGCCTATGCTGCAGATGTCGCAGATGTGGTGGATACATACATAAAGACTGTTTGATGAAGTGGTTTGAAACACACACAACCTGTCCACTTTGCAGATTTCGCTACAATGCAGATGAAATTGAACAAGTTTTTGAAGGAAATCGACCTCCTGCGAGTCATACTTACGCGTACGCAGCAGCAGTGAGCCTTTGTGCAGCGTTGCTGTTTTCGTTCATCCTACGCCGCCGTTATTAACCACATGAAGCAGGATGATGGGGTGTTGTTTTCAATTACCTTAAAATATACTGTCTTTCATGGTTAAGAATATATTGAAAAATTAAATTCCTTTTTTGAATTGATTAATAAATGTATTTAGCTAAATTACTTAATACGGAATATATCTATATTTTACTATTTGGTATTTTAGTGTACGATTAATAACATATAATTGGTGACTGGAATATCGGTATGTTTTGTGTTCTTCGACCCTACACGCCTATCCAATCGTACCAGTGACTAAAATATGCACATAATATAAGTGTTTGATACTAAGATGAACAAACTTCAAGGTGAATGGTACGGATAAATGATATTGAACACACCAAACAAATGCATAGACTGTGTACATACCGGTAATTAGTATAGGTTGTCGAAAACGAATTTTTGCAACATCTTCGATCAGTAAGGTAGATAACCATCTGGCAAAAAACAACCCGTAACTAATTTAAATAACTAAAAATAACTTTTGAGGTTAAAACTGTTTCCATGATCGCCAAACTGACGTGACGTCATAAATCGCATTGAGTACCAGTTGTGAAAATGTGTGTGTTGAAGTATTATTAGGTATAAATATAAAATATATATAATATACATATATAGACTTATTATTTATCCTAGTGTTAGAAACTTTCGGAGAGCGCCACTAGGGTCTGTTTATATCGAGAAACTTTTTGTTGTTCAAGTTGGTAAATAAACAAAAACAAAATGTGCCAAATTATTGGCGTATTTAGAAATATTTGTTAGACTCCATTTTGAAATGTATAATACTGTAGTTCTGTTTCTTTTAAACATAACTTAGAATATATTATTCATCAAATAATTTTCAATTGCAATTTATTATTGTTATATTCCCAATAATTCACATTTCTATGCACTACTTTTATATACTTGTCTTCTCTCCTTGTCTGTAATTTTCCTCTTTCTTCACTTTTAATCTGTTTAGGTTTAGTTCCCCCACACCCGCTACCTTGTCACTTGCTTTAAGAATGTTACCCCAGGGAGTTTTCTAAACGTTTTTGTATCAATTGTAATGGGTTTTATATGTTTATTGAATAAGTGATTTTTAATACTAAATGATGTGGGATTTTCCACCCATAACGATGATCGAGTGAGTGTCGCGAACTGTGCTGCGGAAAAAAAGAATAAATACATATCCCTACTCAGATACAACTTCAGCATTTATTCGGTCGTGATTACTTGTTGTTAGCTGTGTAGTATGTCAAACACGCGGCCACAGTAATACTGGAACTAAAAATTAGTTATTCAGTGAAGATGATTAAAATATGTCATGAAACATTTGATGTCTTAAAGCTTAGCTTAAGTGTGGTAGGAAGCTGGAATCAGATTGCCATTATAGTCAATTGATTTCACACTGTATGGTATACCGATATAACACTAGTGTCAACGCACACACTTGAAACAGAGATTAATATGATGCGCCCTCTTAAGCATGTGCAAGATGCTCCAGTGGCCGAGTTGGCTAAAAAGTCTGGGTTAGAATCCCGGTTGGGGCAATTTTTTCACACACATATTACTCATCTTCACCGATTTTAATAAATGTTTGTCTATTTACTTCCCATGTTTACTGTATACAATAAAAGAAATTATTTGTGTAAATTTAATTAGAAAAAGAATGGGTTTAATTGACTTTCAAACCCTTGCATCCATTCAGTCTACATATTCCATGTCAGGAACACGCGCATGTCCTAATAAAGACAGTGCTGTCCCAAAAACGCACGTGTCAGTTGCTTTTACACATCGTGTTTTGGGAGCTTAGCAACAATATCCAAGGAGTGGGCTTAGCGGTAAAGTACTTGGAATACAAATTCAGTGCAGCACATGTTGCTGTATACAACATAAATGCCCTTTATTGTAGTCGGACTTGCCCGTATCATGGTCAGTCGACATACGCATACACACAATGCACACAACATAGGTTCATGTTGATTAACTTTGGATACCATTGGCAGATCTGAGGGGCGTGAGAGGTCGTGACTCCCCTTTGAGCTGCCTAGAAAAAACAAATTTCAGACCTACCCTTTCAGGACCCGTGTGCCCATGGGCGCAGATTATAAGGGGGGGGGGGGAGAAATATGACATATGTTTTAAAAAGGGGGTTCGACAGCAATACAAATTCAAAAGATGTATAAATGACCCAGGTTTTAAAGAAGGAGCGCTGTACAACCAGAATACTGTACATCTTATCTTAAAGTAAGATACTGGTATCTCTAGCCCACAATCGTCTGAATTACCCATAATCAGTGGCGTATCTAGGAGGGATGCGCACGGCCCTCCAAAAATTACTGGCGCCAGCATCCCCATTCATAATCCTGACTCCCCCTCCCCCAGGAAATTTGACCCCAAATCCACCCCCTAGATACGAGCATGTGCAGTTCAAACTACGAATTGGCTTATTTATTGAGTGATTGATTGTTAGTTATAATCCCTTAACAATACACAACATATTGATTGCAGGGGCGGCGCCAGGAATTCTTCGACAAAGGGTTCAAGCTCTCTGACAAGGGGGTCCAAGCCCCCGACAATGGGTTCACACACCCTCCCGTCAGGGAAGCCTAGCACCACCCCCCACCCACCAATCCATTACCATAATTATTCTAATTATTTTTATTACAATCATTCATCATTACATGAGATAATGTAAATATAAATACAGATACTGAACTGATTTGAATCATAAAAACTTCTATCATTTAAAATGATATTCCCATAAAAGTTAGCTGCATGAAAGCAAAGGTAATAATACAATTAAAACAAAGAGCTTATGTCGACAAGAGGGCAACATGTGGCTGGCAGGCAACATAAGACCTGATGGAAATTTTCTTGCAGCTCGCGAAAATACATTAAAAACCCTAAATGTGTGTGCCCCGCTTACTATCTTTGGCTAGAAACCCATTGCTGTTACGGCTCAATGCATATCATCACTAAAAATAATGATGTTAAAAGCTGAGCATAAAGCGGTGTAAAAGCAGTGCATGAAGGTTTTTGCGAGCACACTGGAAATGTCAGAGTTTGCACACAGCCCTCAGTTTCAAATCGAAAATTCACTTAAGAACTCCAACCAAATTTTATGCCCTCTGACTAATTTTTAAGCCCATTGATAGTTTACGTAGTTTCATCTTGGTATTTTCCGTTGCACAAAGTTTAATATGTCATCCTTAGATAGCTTATGTTCGTCCCTATTGCTCTGGACGTCATGTACGACTACTCCATCCTCCCATTTCCATAACAGTCTTGTTTTGTGGCAATCTCTGTATGCAAATGAAAAAAAAAGTAGTTTTAAATATTTATGTAAATGTATATAAACTTAAATCTGGAGTGAAGCTGTGGTCATATGCCGTGTTGCCATAGACAACAAGTTTTTTAATGGAAAATAATATGTGGAATTACTTATTAGTTTACTATCTTTGCAAATGGAATTTGGTAAATTTGCTGGGAAGTGAACATAGTGGTGCATACGAAAAAGAGATGGAAAGATAAACGTAAATGTGATAGAAGGGAAAAATCACTGGCATTCCACATTAGCAAATAATCTGAAAAGATGGATAGATAGATGCCCAAAAAGCAACGATTCAGTCAATGTTGGGAGAGATACAAATTAAACAATTTAAAATATCACCGTGAATATCTTACCTAAACGATGCTATTGAATCTGACGGGCATTCAAACAATGACTCGTTTGTAACCAAGTTGAAGAAATACTTTCGTTTTTGTGACCGGCTAAAATTCATAGTCCAAGGTTCTGAGATAAAAAAACAAAAATAGAATATAAGATTTTAAATAGAAATTAATAGGATAAATTTTGCCTCATACATAATCATATTCAGACACATCTCTTATAACAAATGAGTTTGGATTGGATTATATGTATTCGGTGTAAACACCAAGGATAGCCTACGAAAGTCTAGAAGGAGACTTATGTCCAGTGGGGTCCAGTGATTGGGCAATACACCGGGAGGCAATCCCCGACTCTTTTCCGAACAATGTACTGCATTCTTCAACATGCACACGAGCCATAATGCACGCAGAACCAACAGCTTAAACGTCTTATCGAAAAAATGGTGCGCTTTTGAAACTTACATTTCAGCCCTTCAAATGAAACACAAGATCAGCAGCGATGGGAATTGAACAGGGAACAAACAGATCTCCACGGTTCAGCGCACACACAGTGGCTACCACCAGTTTAGCCGAATGAGCTAGCTGCTCTCTCTGAGGTCTACACTTTCAATTTAACTTCATATTTAGTGACATTTTATTGACTCACTCAGACATAGTAGCTTTGGTATGGAGATACACCTCCACAGTGATAGTTAAAAGATGATAATAAATATTTGAGAAAATATTTTCCCATTTATTTTCCTATTTATTATTCATTACGTATTAAGATAACCTAAAAACACAGTACAATATAAAAGACTATAAATGGTTTTTCATTTTATTAGAAAAGAAAGAAATAATAATAAATGCTACCCAAATTATAAAATCAATATTAAACTTAGTAAAAACATTGCTGTTAAATACAAATACTATAAAACTGTTAAAGAGATAAAAATTGGTATTACATAATACCTTCAGAAAAAATTGGTCCTAATGGGAAGATCAATGGGTGTAGTATACCACTAGGCATCATAGCTCAGTTAGTAGAGTATCTAAATAGTAATCGGAAGGTCTTGGGTTCAAATCCCAATAGGGACATACATTTTTCTCAAATATTTATTATCAGACATGAGAGAAAGTAGCTTAATTGGATGAAATCTCACCATTTGTAATTTTAACAAAGTGAAGTCCACAGGGTAAAAAATGACTGTTCTGGTTGGAGCGAAAACACAGCCTAGGCTTTCGCGAACCCTTCACTGCCCGCATCTCTAGCCTAATATTGGTTAGATAATAACAAATATTGTTAAATTGTTAATAAATATTGAATAATAAGACAAAGATATCCTAAAATATCTATCTGAAAAATATTACATAGAATAAAATAATAGTAGTCTAGCTGAAAAAAAGCAATAACAGTAATAAGACATAAATAATAAGAATGATTATAAATAACAAATATTCATAAAAATTATAAATAAAAAATTTAACACTTACATAAATAATTTCATAATAATAATAAAAATATATCAACCTTTCAAATATCTTTTCTGCTTGCTCAAGTCGGAATACTTCTTTCACTCGGATGGGAGTGAGATCTTGCCGGCTCGGCCTGGATATGCTGCGAACAAACAACTCTGCTTTCCCAATTCTGTAAAAACAAAAAAAAAACAACATTTTGTTAGCAGTATTGTAAGTCAGGGAAGGTTGCAAAGTCGATTGACAACCAATACATTAACCAATCAAGCATCCAACAAACCATTAAACCAACTAAAACAGAAAACAGAACCAGTCGATCAACTATCAATAAACCACCAATTCAATTCAATTCAATTCAATTCAATTCAAGTTTTATTGTCAAACACAGTGAGAACATGGTTTGAAATTCTTCTTGTTTGTTCACAGTTAAAATG